GAATCCTCGACACAAGAGCTGCTCCTCAAGCTGCACTTGCAACAGGGGTAAAATAAACCTTGAGTACACAATGTACTCGCAGGACTTACCCGACTAGTGGGAATAGTTTCTCGACTCTCAAGGATATGATAGGCAATATGGTTTTACTGTTTTCTTTTTGTTTACGGAAAGTATTACTAATAGTTCATCCTTACTGTCAAGTTTTCTTAGCAGTCATGATTACTTTATTAGCTAACCATTCTAGGTAAGCATATGTTCTACTTTCAAGCAAGGGTTGAGTAATCAGAACCATTTCACTATCTTTCATCTTCTAGTTCTTACTACGGTGCTAGACCATAGCCAAGTCGTACCGTCTCATAGAAACGACAATTTGTGAATCAATGTATCCCAGCTGGGTACCCCAAAACACACGCCCTATTTGTATCCCAGGCACAAACAAGACCAACCCATTCCACTCCTATCACGGGGTCCAGGTCCCTGTCCAAACTTGGAATCCAAGCCCCCACACTTGAGACCCGATCTTAATATGGTGCTTAGACCTCCACCTTTCCCCGCCTCCAATCAGTCGGTCCAGAAAGAGTCGAAACCTATGATAAGAGCGTAATGAGCCTTCCCGCTCCCATAAACAAGTATGTGCTCAGGATAATAAGTCTGTGACCTGACTACCATCCACAGCAATGGACGATCCTTAATCGACACGAACAGGGAAAACAGTGTAACCAAGCTAAGCCCCGTTGGCCGTAGGACACAACCTGTTACACCCACCAATACACATACCATATCCCTGCCCTGTCTCCATTTTTCCTTTTATCATTTTATTATGAGAGTAATAATAATCCTCTATTGTGAGCAATGGCAGGTTACTGACGCTACCGATTACCTAAGCATAGCATCTACTCGAACCTGCACTAGTAAGACTCTTAGGACAAGTATATCTATGCATGTGGTTTCCATAAAATTCCTGTAACGTAAATGTACAACACATATATATACAATGAATTATAAAATAGAGGTTATGCACCGGGGCTTGCCTTGGGCAGGCCCCGTGTCAGCTGAGTCAGTCAGTGGCGGCTTCGGGACCTCCTCCTGCACAAGAATCTCCTTATACTCCTCGATGATCTCTTCGAACTCGTGATCGCCGGTGGTCATGATCTCCGCCAACTCGTTCTCTACATGCATGCGATGATGATGCAACACTTAGCATTTAGGCAACAACAACTCTTAAAATAAGAATACACATATCAAGCTACTAAGCTAGCTCTAATGACTAAAATACTAAGCTAACTATCATTTTCATCAAGCAAAGTGTTGGGTTCAACTAACAAACACCTAGCTTTACAAATGAAGGATATATCTTTATTTCTACTAATGATTTGATATATATTGAAACAAAGAGCATTTAACTACCCTAATGCTTAGTCTATTCTAAAGCTACAAAAATTACAGTGAGCACATAATAATATAATGAAGCTACTATAAAAATTTTAGGACTAAAGCTATCACCAATTTACCACAAAAATTCCTACAATAATTTACTTAATATTATTAAGCATCCACAATTGATTTAATAGCTCCTAATGTCAACACATATAAACATGAACTAAATACACCAACAAATAGAGCACAATTTTAGAAACCTAACAAAATTTGTTTTATAATTTTTGGACACCTACACGATTTTATATTAATTACCAAAAATCAGCACAGAAATTAAATTAGGAAACTATTTCTAATTCCTTATGAAAACAAAAAGTGAATCTCCCGCGTGGCCCGCGCGACCCGGCGGCGCAGCGAAGCGATGGCATGGGGTGGCCACGCCGGCCACCAGAGACACGCATTGGCTCATCGATGAGGTCAACACTCAACTATGGTCCAACCACCTACACCGAGCAGCAACGCGTGACCATCTACGACGGTGATGCAACTGCTCCAGAGAACCAGGGCACCGAAGGACCTAACTGGCTAGCGAGTGAGCATCAGTAGACTACCATGGACCTAGCTAAGGTGACGGTTGGAGAAGAGGGTGATGGAGAAGGGTTGGCCACGTGCGGCCGAGCTGTGCGGCGACATGGTCGCGTCAGTGATGACGGGGAGGCGGTAGCGGTTCGGCTAAGGCGCGTAGGGTGAAGAGGGAGTCAAGACGATGCTAGTGGTGTAGGTGAATTGGTTCGGGATGGGCGGTAGGAGGGCTGCCCTCGACCATGGCCGAGCGCGGCCTTAATGGAACGGCGGCTGGAAAACCTCCAAATTGGAGCTTGGCCTTGCACGGTTCAAGGTTGGGTGGGGTCGGGTGGCGAGAGGACGTGATGTTGAAACCGTGGATGCACTGAATTGAATGGAGGTGATCGTTCGCTGGGTAATTTGATGGCACGACTCGACATTGGCAGCAGAGGGAGAAAGAAAGAAAGAGACGGGGCATGACAGGAGGGCTCGGCTCGGCCTCGCCTTGGCGAGATGCGGTCGGCGTGATCGTGGAGGCCCACGTGCAGGTGCTATGGACAAGCGCGCGCGTCCACGATCGGGCATGGCCCACGCGACCGCAGTGCCATAAATGGCAAGGCGATGGCGAGTTCCACCACGTGCGCGCGGCTGCGACGAGCACCAAACCAGGCCAGTAGCGGGGTAGGGGTGCAGAGGGAGGCATGGACGTGACGGTGAGGCGACGGCACCTGCAGCAGCTGTGTCGCGGCACAAGGTGGGTCGACGGTGCGGTGGGACAGCCCACGTGCGCGCAATGGCAAGACGAGCAGCAGCGTAGCACGGCGCCACGGTGACAGCAACCTCGCGCAGTAGCGGCCGAGGATGGCAGAGGCGGCGCCCCCGTAGCTCAGCGTGGTGGCGATGGCGGCGGCGGCGGCATGGTGATGATGAATGGGGTGGCGCGAGATAGGCGGCGGCGAGGGCGGGGCTAGCGGCGGCTGCTGCGGCTGCCTCGGCCAAGCCCAAAGGGCTTGACCGACCCAACATGGCGGCGGCACGGGTGGCTACGCATGACGCGCCATGCCATGTCTTGTGGCGGTGGTGGCAGCGGTGACGCAGACGCGGCGTCATCCATCCCGAGGCTGTGTCGTGCACGAATTTTAAAGCGTTGATAAAAACTAAACTAATGAAGTTGGAGCTAAACCGCCTTCACTATGCTAAAGAGTGTACATCAAACTACCATAAGGAACAAAAACATAGCACTGACCTTTAGCAAAATTTTCCGAAATTAATTCACCAACATTGCATTGTCACATTGTTTTCAAACTTAAAATTCTTCCAAGTCTTGAGCTGACTTTGATTTCAAGTTCCATTTCCAAGCCATTGGAAATACTAGCTAGTCATATTATTTTTCTACAGCAAAAGTTGCATTGTCATCTACAAAGTTTGTACTTCAAACTTTATTTAAGTATCACACATGTTCTATAGTATTTTTGCTTAATAAAAATTGGTTTTCAACCCTACTTGATATAGATGAGCTATTGAATCAACTTTCATTTAACATTTTTATTGGTCATTTTAAGTTACAAGAAATTTATCTACACATTCTATCACATGCATTATCACATAAACATGATGCTCATGATAAGGTTTAGTGGTTTGTTTAAGGTGTAACACCGAGGGTGTTACAAAGACCTAGAACGAGGCTCTTTTGATTAAAAACCTGCATAAATTTTTCAGCAAAAAGACATCCCTTGGGTGTCTTTAGGCTGGGAGAAATACTATGACAGTGGTAGATTACCGAGGGAGGTCAAAAGGGGTTCGTTCTGGTGGAGGGATGTTCTGAAACTCTTGGACAAATACAAAGGACTATGACAGTGGTAGATTACCGAGGGAGGTCAAAAGGGGTTCGTTCTGGTGGAGGGATGTTCTGAAACTCTTGGACAAATACAAAGGGATGGCAAAGGTGGAAATCAACAGTGGTAAATCCTGCTACCTCTGGGAAGATCTATGGGAGAATGAGCTAATGTCAGGAAAGTTTCCAGAGCTCTTTTCATTGGCGAAGAAGAAGAAGATAACCTTCCAGGAAGGAAGGACTTCAGATTCCCATTCATAGCCTATTCAACCTCCCACTATCCCAGCAAGCACATGCAGATGATACAGTTGGAGCTGTTGTTGCAACAGACTAGGTTAAATGACTCACATGACAAATGGTCCTATATATGGAATTCTAACATCTTCTCAGTAAAAAGGGCTTACAGCCAACTAAAGGGGCACTCAATCTTACATCCAGTGTAGTGGAAACCTTCATATCAAAACAAACACAAAGTATTCTTTTGGTTATTGATCAAAGACAGACTGAGTACAAGAGAACTGCTGAGAAGGAAAAATATGACACTACAGGACTACAATTGCATTCTGTGTACTGGATCTGTTGAGGAATCTTTAAGACACCTATTTCTATACTGTCCTTTTGCCATTCAGTGTTGGGCATGTATAAATATTCAGATTGATCAGCAACTAGATCCCTTCCAAAATCTTCAGAGCTTCAAAGATCAACTCAGGCTGCCGTTTTTCATGGAGATCATCATTGTCATGTGTTGGATAATCTGGAAGGCTAGGAATGACCGGATTTTTCGTCAGGTTATCCCCAATCTTCAGGTGTCGAAGGCCAACTTCAGAGAAGAACTTCATTTGCTTTCTCTGAGAATCAAAAGAAGAAACCTTTCAGAGTTTAATCAATGGATCGACAATCTGTCTTAGCTTGGTTCACCTCGGTGTTGGGATTCATTTTCTTCTATACCTTTTATGTATCCTAAGCTCCTGCTTCGGGCAATGGCCACGGACCCTGCCCCTTCCTTTCGTTATTTAGTCTAGCCCTGTATTTTAAACTATCTTTTAACTTTAATAAATTGCTGTAGGGGTGCAAACCCCTCCAGTTTCCGTCAAAAAAAACACATCCACTTCGTCACAGCGTATGGCCAACGTAGCGCGTCCGCCCAGGCCGGGAGACAAGAGGTTGAAGACGAGGCACGGGACCGACGCGGCGCGCTGCTGGGCCGTCTGGCCAACAAGGCCCAATGGCCCATCGCGCAGCCCAGGTGTGCCTCTTGGCAGGCAGAAGCAGTGGCGGCTGGGTATCGGAGAACACGCGCTCACGCTTGGCCGTAGAGCGGTCGCTCACTCGCTCGGCAGACGACGGCGTTCGCTCCGCCTCCGCGCTCCAACCTCTACCGGTCCGCCCTCCAGGTCCAAGGCGGCTCGACGGCGAGCGGCGGCGCTCAGGCCTCAAGCTCAAGGGCAAGGCGGCTCGACTGGCGGGCGGCGGCCCTGCGCGGCTGCTGCTCCCGAGCGGCCGAAGCGCGGGCGGGCCAGCGGCCAGCCGCCCAGCGCGCTGCGCGGCTGCCTTCCCCTGGCGCTGGCGGCAGCCGGCTGGCCTGGGGCCTGGGCTGGGCGCCTGGACAGAGCTTGCTCTGCTGCTGCAGTCTGCAGATCTACAGTGATACCCTGCTGCTGTGATCATTTTATGCAGATCTGCAGTGATGCCCTGATGCTGTGATCATTTGATGCTTTGATGTATGGCCTACATATTCCTTCATTTATCACTTCTTATGTGCTTTTCATGTGAAAGGTATTCTGTTCACACTTCTTCTGTGTCATTTGTTTGCTGAATTACAGATAAAATTTAACTCTTACATGATATACCAATATATATACATGCTATACATACATAGTTAGACCGATATTTCGGTGAAGTTCTGTATATGTATATAGCGGTCCACCCTATCTCATTTTTTCAGCTGGATCCACCACTGCTTCCGGGAACCAAAGCTTTGAAACAGCACTCCCACTCCTGGAGATCCTCCAGTCAGGTGGCGATCTGGAGCGTCATATGCAAACGTGAGGCGGGATCAACTTTCCTGGATTCATGATGTTGTTGGGATCCAATGCGGCCTTTATTCTTTTCATCGTCCTGAGTGACTCGATGCCCAACTCCTCCTCCAGGTACTGCCAACAAACAAAAGTATTCATCAACATGAAGTGATATAATACCCGTGACCAATAGAAAATGATGTCTTATCAGAAAATTATAAACAAGCAAAGATGCCTTAAAAGCATGAAGGGTATGAAAACTTTCTCCTACAAATGTTAGGTTCCAATAGACTGGACTAGATATCCACGGAATTATGTCGTTCAAGTGATATCTGTAATAACACATTCAGTCCAATGAAGTGGTTCGTATTCAGCCATTCTCAATTTTTTTTTCTTATGCCATAGTTTTGAAGAAGGAAAAGAAAAGGGAGCGCCACTAAGCGTTTTGCATCTGTAGGTGTCTGATACTTGCCTTCATTTTCCCTGTGCCAACACCATGCTCTCCGGTGCATGTACCTGCAGTTAGGTGCCAAATCATGTTAATATTTTCAGCTAGTTCAAGTTTTGATAATGACTGCAAATGGATAAAAAAAAAGACAAATCGCATATGTTATGACAACGTTTTGAGAAAACTCTAGATCAGACAGTGGTTCAAGGCAGTTGGTTATTCCTTATCCGGTGACAGCAAGTAAACTCCATAGACAAGAAGTAGACTGTTTATACCTTCCATAGACAGAGCTGTATGAACCATGAAATGGTTTAGTCTCTCTGCTTCCTTTCGTTGGTCGTCTTGACTTGGATCAAACAGGATAATCGTGTGAAAATTTCCATCACCAGCATGAGCAATAACCAAACTGGAATATAAATAATCAGACATAAATGTCTCCATAACAAAAAGATATATTCATGGCTTGCTGAAGTTACTGTAAGATAATGCCATCCCGTATAATATCAAACAGCCTTTCTGCCCTGTATTTACAATAGTGAAAGAGGTGGCCATCTCTCGAAAGTATTGAACGAGGAAATGCATACCAAGTCAATGGCGACGCATCAAGCAGACGCTTTGATGTAGATATGCATTCAGCAAGTCTGGACAGAGGGACGCAAACATCCTACACAAACAGATACGGTAGCATTAGGAAACTGATTACAGAATACAGATCATGCATTGTTAACTGACAACATGTTCCATGCAAGGTTACCACAATCACAATGACCTTTTGGACAATCTACACAGGCATAGGAACAGAGGATAAAAAATTGCAAATGAGAAAACAAACCTCTTTATTTATTTAAACAAGGCCATGCTCATCGTTTATACTGGATAGGCTACTTATTTGGGATCACAATTTCATGGAGATAACATAGGGACATGCTGTTAAAGACTTACAACTGAGGAGCAAGCATTAAAGCACATGATACACAACACTAGATGTGGTTCCTGGATATTACAATGGCATAGTATATGTATATTAACCAAGTGGAAAGAGAACAAACCGTTGACATAGATTCATGATCAGGTTTCATAGCAAGAGCAGCCCAAAGTGCCTCCTTCCTGATCTGCACTTAAAGGCTCAGTATTGTTACAAATATATTTCAATAATATAGATCCATTCCAATGCATGATGGAGGCTAATTAATTATATTTGCAACATTCACGTGTGTGCAAGATCATATAGAACCAAAGGGGGGAATCAATATTCTCTTCAGATTAAACGCTCTACTGACCTTCCATAATTCCGCTTTAGCATCTGGCTCCTCAACAAAAACAAAATCTGATCCATGGCGTTCAGTGGCAATTTTTTGAACCAAGAGAGTTTGTTCAAGAGCATATGCTTCTGGATATTTGCAAGAGGAAGATGTTAGCAAAGAAAAGGAAGTAGCCAGTTATTGATCATAGGCCGTAATAACAGTTGCAGTTAAAGTTCTGTGAGTTCAAAGGAGTTTCTAATGAGCAGTTGAGCACAGTCCAGCAGCCAGTAAATTATATTATTATGTTGGCTTTGCCCTGAAGATAATATACATAACAAGCTAGCAAGTAACGGGGCTATATCTTGTGAAAAAATACAGGAAGTATCATATAGCAAAACTGCACATGTATTGTTATCAAATAGACTTCACTTTTCACGATGCCTATCTTGACTGATACCACTCCAATCTTATATTAGATATAATACTGTGAAAGTTGTCTGGACAGCGGTGCACATTGTGCGCAGGGAAAATTTTGTAGAGAATATTCCGAGAAGTTTGTGCATCCCAGAACCTAAACTGCGAAAGTAAACTTTTGCTAATTGATATCCTGAAATACAGAAGCGGTCGCATTGATGCAGAAGTAGTCGTATTATCATTCTTTACCCATTATTGTTGATCAAGAATCAAGTCAAATTCATAATTGTAAGCAGATGATGGCTACATGCAAACCTCTTATTCATCGGACTACATTCACATGGCGCCATATATTTTCAAATAAAATCATTTGGGAGGGATAAGTACAACCACCATCGATACATAATATAACTGATCATATAGTAAGTTGCATTACCTGTCCCTATGAATTCAAACATCAAGGTCGACACTTCAGGCAAATTTTTGCCATTTGCCATATTTATTGCCTTTATCTGAACCTCATCCAACAATTCCACTCTTGAAACCTAGTCATATAGAAAAGAAAACATAAATATTGGCATGCTGCAAGAGCTTTACAGGATAGATATATATATTGGAACATAAATATTGGCATACTGCAAGGAAACAGAGGCCAGAGCCTGCACATTCATATCGATGAAACACAAGAGATCAAATGTTCCACACCGGAGCATCATGGTCATTGTTGCAATAGCAGGGAAAACACGAACCTGTATCCCAGAAAACATTGTTGCAATAGCAACATCAGCAGCATCCTTAATTGTTTTAAAATTGCACATTGCAACCTGAAATAGTAGGAAAATGTATGGTGAGTGCCTCCATAACTAAAATGAAAACAAAAAAGATACATAATACAGAGAAAATTGACAGCATAAATCTAGCAAGCTGTGTTCTCTCTTTTATGTATATGCTTGCACAAATTTTTCTGAAGATGAAAGACGACAGTGGTATGTCATAGCAAGAAGGTGGTCATTCCTTTTAGAAAGAATAGAAATTTTCCAAAAAAACAAACAGCATTATAAGTTAAGGGTTCCTACATACTACACTCTGTTGAGATTCAAGCCTATACAAAGAACTTTGCAGTGGTAGGAAAAGATTGAGTTTGGTATTGACCAAATCCAAAGATACTCACCACAGAATGAGATGGAAGCTTTTGGAGTCGTAAAGTCACTTCTGTAATTACACCCAAAGTCCCTTCACTCCCAATGATCAAACGAGCGAGGTCATACCTGACATTCAACAAGGCAGAGGTAAACAAAGTTGCAAAAATCGACGGCAGCTGGCAGGAATAGAACACCATATGTATATAACACATATATGGATAAAGGAAGCACTAAGCAGTGAAAATAGTATTCACTTCGAAAAAACAAAACAAAAAAGGGTCATTCTAACAATCAGGAGAGTGTCTTGCATACCCAGCTGCACTCTTTCGAGCCCGGGAGCCTGTCTTGACAACATCACCATTTGGCAAAACAGCCTGCATGTACCAAGAAAATTTACTATTTGCATGTGGAACTAATACAAAGTATTTTTTATGTAGGGGAGAAGTACCCGAAGATTAATCACATTATCCCGCATTGTTCCATACCTACAAACTAGGAAGGAAGCCATAGAACTATAGAAGCCATTTAAAAGTTATAATACAAAGCTAGCAAAGTATATGAACTAACATATCAGTCTTATGGTTGTACGTTCTTGGGAGATGCGGGTTTATGGTTGTGATACAGAACCTTGAATATGCCATGAAAATATAAGGATAAATTTGTAATTACCTCACAGCTAATGAACCAGAGCAGCGAGTAGCACACATTCCTCCAATGGTGGCCCCAGGCCCTGCAAATCAAATTGTTTTTTTTAGCTAAAGCATGAGTGTTTGGGTTCCATAAGCATGCAAAATTTAACATGACCATCTTCTAAATATGATGAAGGCTCTATTGATCTTTCCCCAGAATGATAATGGGAACTAAATATACATTTGAAACCATCGAAGCAAGTGAAAATGCAGCTACTGACTATGGCTAGATTCTACAAATACTTCAATCAAGAGAAGTACTAATTATTACGTGAATGAACTTGCACAAATCAATGGGGAACAATGGCTTACCAACTGCAACCAAGTTAAATTAGATGCAATTGCACATCGAGTGATTACATTAAGAAGTTCATAACAGGGTGCCTTGAAAAGATTCATGAAAATTTTGAAAGGCTTTATGAACAAAGAACAAGGACCTTTCCTGGATCAAGAGGGAAAAATAGGCCGTAAGGCTTCAGGTATTCGTTCAGCTCTATCCATCCAACTCCAGGTTCAACAACTACGTCCATATCCTCAACATTCAGGGATTTGATTTTCTGTAAAGAATTTACGCCATGATGAACCACACCACACATTTGAAGAAAGGCAACAAAGTAGAAAGGTCAAGGCTCGAATATTCGAATGCTTCTTAAGCATTAGAAAATGGTTCTAACTCATTCACAAATAGTTTGTTTTCGTAATGTCATTAACACCTAGCTATAGCTATATGCTCTAGATTAATTGCTTAATTTATACCTTCATCAAGGTCATGTTGATGCAAACACCACCATGAGGTGCCAGTGTGTGACCCTCAAGTGAGGTAGCCCCACCATATGGTACAATTGGAACCTTAACACAAGGAGATCGAACATAAATTAGATCAATGATGATGATGGAACCTTTATACATAAAAATAGATGATGAAGGCCACATCCATTAATACTATATGTTTGCGCCGATGAAAAGAATACCATACCTTGTACTTGTTACAGGCCATCACAATCTTTTGTACCTCATCTTGCGAGCTGCAAAATAGATGATGAACTTCATTACGAGAAATAGATCATTCAATCAATACATGCTTGAGATATGGAGCAGGTTCAGCGCATCCCAACATCAAGTGCCGATACAATGACATCTTAAGATGGGGGCACACAAGTCGATGGCCCATTTTAGGAAAAACACTTGAAACATATAACGTCTCCTACCAGCCCTTGGTTACATCAAAACGATCATCATTGGAGTTCTTAGTAGGCATCATCACCTCGGGAACACGACGACATCAGGCACGTTGACCGCCTTGTGGAAGCTGTTCTGTGGCGTGCCATGGAAGCTCCTCTCCTCGTAGTCCAAAGTCATGTTGTCCTGCCATTAAGCCGTACACTCAACCATCAGCGAGAAAACATCAAATACTTGGCATCCACGCATCAAGGCCGCCATCACTGCGCACAGGTCGAATGCACTGGTGGCCGTCCGATCACAAAACTCACCCCGAGGAAGGACGCGAGCTCGTCGATGAACTCCTGCGGCACGAGCTTACGCTCCCCACGAACCACCAGATCGGTGCTGTCCTTGCCCCCGACCCTGAACCAGACAGATAGAACACGCCGGGTCAGCCCGTCAGGTGAGGTCAACCCCAGCTGAGCGAGTAACGGAACACAAGCAATTATGATGGGGTTAGTGTTAGATGAGGCGGGCACCGGTGGTTGAGGCCGGAGTCGCAGAGCGCAACGGTTGCTCCCCCGGCGGCGGCGGCAGCGGCGGCGAGGAAGGAGAGGAAATGCGGGAAGCGGCGGGCGGACGAGGGGGTAGGGGATGGGGACGGAGATGGGGCGTGGGACTCGGTGGAGAGCGGTTGGCGGAGGGAGGAGATGGGGAGCAGCGCGCGGCGGGGGCGGGAGAGGCGGAGGAGGGAGGTGGCCATGGCGGAGCGGAGTGGAGGCACGCACGGAGTTGGAGCAGAACAGTGGAGGTGCAACACTAGCAGTGGATTGGAAAGACAACTCGTCCACACCTCGAGACCGCGAGTCGATCGCCTCTGGCTGGCATGCTGTTGCGAAAATTTGAAGACAAGAGAGCCTCAAGCGCCGGCGCGCGCATGGGGTGGCCACGTCATCGAAACGAATGCAGGCAGTTGGATTCCTATCCAACGGTGGTGATGCCGTTGACCAGGGGCCGGCCTGCTAATGGGCCCCGCACTTGTGGCCAGTGCCGGTCATGAGTTTTTCTGTACCTGGAGCAGAACTTAAACTCAGATCCCTTTATAAATATGATAAAAAATTTTGACACTCAACAGTCAACATGTACCGAAAAACATGTGTGGCCGTTGTTGCCTCATAGCCACAGCTTAATAACAATGACTAATGAGTACTAGTCTCACAATTACACAATAAGTCTTCACACAATCAGTTAAAAAACAAGAAAAATTCTTATATATAATTAGTCTTGCCCTAATGGATGAATTTAATTCTCACTTGATAGATCAAAAGGAAGCTATGAGAACATACCCTAACGGAGGAATTTAATTCTCAACTAGATATATGCCCGTGCGTTGCGGGGAGTCACGAATTTTTGTGTGCATATATACAGCATATACGTTCAAGCTGACAATGAAGCCCGGCAAGAAATACATGCACCGGCTCATCAACGCCACACTCAATGACGAGTTCTTGCATTGCCAACCACACGCTTGTCGTCGACGTCGACGCGCTCTATGTCAAGCCCTTTACTGTGGACACCCTCGTCATCGCGTCCGGGCAAACGAGCAACGTTCTGTTCATCTCTACCAAGCCGATGTACCCTGGCGCGAGGTACTACACGGAGGCGCGGCGGTACACCACACACGCAGGGCACGTTTGACAACACCACCATCGTCGGCGTCCTTGATTACGAGGACCCCAACCCCTTCGGCTCTGTCTCCAGCCCAGATAACCTCCCGGTCTTCGCGCCGACCCTGCCGCAGATCAAAACCACGAAGCACCGCAGCCTCGGAAGAGCGGAATACCTGGCCACCGCACCGCGGAACATCGACTGGCGCTTCTTCTTCACCGCGGGGCTCGGCACGCACACATGCGCCTTCAATGGGACCTGCCAGGGCCCGAACGGGTCTCAGTTCGCGGCGTCCATCAACAACGTCTTGTTCGTGCTGCCCACGGTGGCCCTGCTGCAGGTGCACTTCGTCTTTGTCACGAATAATCACGATTTCGAGGGATCGGCGAGCGAGGCGAGCGGGAGGATCGAACTCGAGGTGGAGGCAATGTCATAGTCGGTCGATACAAGTTTTTTCAGGGGCAAACTCGAACGGTGACATGTTATCCGAGCAGTACGTACGTGAAAAGAACTTGGACACCGACCAGTCGTACGTACATGAAAAGAACTTGGACAATTGGATGGCTGACCCTCTGAACTCCACTTCCGTTCGGCCGATTGGCGGACACTTTGGCCCAGACGCGCAGATGATGCGGATTCCGTAGACGACGAGCGAGGTGATTTTTGTTTGACGAGCGATAGGATTGGCTAGCACACGACGAGGACAGTAGTAATTTTTTAGGTGTAATAGATTGAGAGATTAAAAGGAAGCAATAACATACTGATTTAGATGAGAGCCCGAGGCCAATAGGGTGACACAAGCGTCCAGTAGGAGCGGCGAGCCAGCGACGGCGCCACGGCGGCATCTAGCCTAGCGAACTGGTGGTGTCGGCGTGTTTGTAACTAGCACGCGAACCGTCGAACCGAAGTCCGAAGTATACGCAAACACAGACGTCGCCTGCTGAAGCTAAAGTGGCGTCGGCCGCTGCCTTGCTAGGCTAAAGACTAATGTGTTGTCTAGTGGGTCTTGGGCCAAGTAATATCCTAAATACTACTACTTGTTTCTCAAAAAAATCTACTTTGTACTAACATATACTGGGGGCATTTGCCCCTCCCCCCCCCCAAACACCACCGCCCAAAGGGCCGACACTGCTTGTGCCCGTTGCCCAGCTGCAATTGGTTTGAGGTACAGCGGCCCCACCTGCTGTGCCTAAGTGTGAACCTCTTCCTCCGGAGAAAAAAATGGTAAGGTCAAATGAGCCCTGCTCTGCTGGCCTTCTCCGCCTCGCACTGGGCACTGGTGGCCGTTATCGAGTGATCATTAGCTTAGGGTACAGCGGTCCCACCTGCAGCGCCTAGATTTTTAAGTCATGGGTGTAGAACCTCTTCCTAAATGTGTTAATAGAGAATTGAATTCTCAAATTGGCATAATAAGCCAAGATTCACATTTTAGTGAAAGTGATGGAGTTCCCCCTATATCCATGCTCCTGTGGGGTGCTACTTGCTGTGTCAGGTATGTAAAACGTGATGCGAATGACAGTTTATGCATAACATGGTTTGTTGTTACAGCTGGGTGCGGCAGTGCAGCACCAGGGTGCGGCACTGTCGCACTTGCTGTAACAGCACAGATCAGAGCAGACACCACACAGCATGTAATACATATAAAGATATGCATTCTAGCACAAATGTATCACCAGCTACAGCACATATTAATTCATGTCCATATACCACACATATAAAGTACTTAGGTAGCATTATTACATAAATAGAGTTTTGAATCGTCTCTCAAACTTTCAACCTAACGAAGTCTACTCTAAACAGATAAGAACATAAAGCTTCAGCTGCAGCAACCTCCTCTCCATGGTGTCGAAAAAGTTGTTGACCCCTCTTTAATTTCTCCCTCTTTGGCATAAAGCAACAAAAAGAGAAGAAAAGAAGAAAGATCAACACTCACTCTTCATCTTCTTGGATGGTGTCCCAATCGACATCATCCTCACCAGCAGCTCCACTAGCACCTGCAACATCCTCCTCACCACCATCATCATCGTCGGAGGAGGAGGAGGAAGAGGACACCACCGCCTTCCCTTGGCGATGGGTGGTAGAAGTGTGACGCTCACGTCTGGTGCTTCTCCTCATGGACTGCAAGGTGGAGCTCAACCTCCTGTGAGGGTCAAGCTCTGGCTGCTCCTGCTCCTCCTCCTCCTCATCAACCTTTGAATCTGTGTCGGAGAGGCTAGGGAGGTTGTCAAACCTCGGCGGTGACTGTAATGGAGAAAGAGGTGACAGCCCTGTACGCTCTCTAGTCTCTCGGTTGGCTTCACGGTTTTCCAACCGGTCCTCATATGCGGTCCTCGTTGTATAGGTGCAAGTGGTGAAAATGGCCTTAATCTATCTCCCAAACTTCTCCATCTTCTTTTCCTTGCGAGGCCTAGAGCGAGAGGACTCAGGCACGTCCTCAACTGATGGAGAGCGTCTCACTGCCCTGCTAGCACCTGAGGCTTGGGTCTTCTTAATCTTGTAGATGGTGTGGAGACCATTTTTATCAAACTTGTATATCCAATGACCCTCTCAATCATGAACATGATATAGGGGACATAGGGCATCCCCTTTCTCCCATCTTCCATGGCATTCCTCAGCTCACGCCACATGAAGCGAGGGACATTGAACCTATCACCTCCAGGAGCAAAATTAGCAAACACATTCCTCACATAGCCATTAAGATCTGAAGCAGCTCCATCCTTGTAATTTATTGTGTGCCTGATCAGATTGTTTAGAATGTAGTAGTAGCTCTTCAAGCCACTGACCTTGCCATCTGCACTTCTCCTATCAATCCACATATATGCAATGTCATGGATCTCAGCTCTAGCCTCATCATGAATATAAGTGAAGCCCCGCTCCTCCTCTCTAAAACCAAGGATCCGGCTGAAAGTCACAAAGTCAATCCTATATGTAACACCCTAGGTATTTGTCACCAGTTAAGCAATGGGTTTAAACTCAAACATGGCATGTTAAGTGGTGATGAAGGTGTCAAGATCAAATCTACAAGAGTGAGCTCCAACTTAAACTTGGACAACACACCTTTACTTAGAATGTGTACCCTTGTTAAGATTATGCAAGAGTAATGTTAAACATGCTCATTACATGTACATTACATTAACATGCATCCATCCTGACCAGTGGAAAAGTTTCGTAAAGTTTGGAATCAAAAAGTCACATGAAATGATAAGTTATAATCTTTCTTGGATTGCTTTATTAAGTGAATGAAATTATATATCATCAACCAAACCTTGCAACCTTGCTCAAATGACTCTAGATAAACTCTACAACAAAAGTCATGAAAGGTTCATGTTGGGCAAATGTCAAGAAAATGCATCAATCGGTCTAAAACTCAGATTTAAGCGTTACCGCGATGCTATTTTGACTTGGTTTGAACTGTGGCATAGAGGGTTTGCATGGCAGTAGAACCTAAACAAAAGTTTAAGTTTGAGTGGTGTAGAACAAACTTTGTTTAATGATCAAGAACTAGATCAGCTTTGAAGCAAGTCAAACCGAAGCTCAAATATTGAACTCAGTGCTGTTTTGAAACCTCGAAAATCGGCTAAGTCTGGGATGACTGAAATTCATGTTTGAGTTTTCGTGTACCCCACTTTGGAACCTCGTATCTCCCAAACCAGGCCTAATTAGACTTTGAAGCTTTAACAAAAGTTGGAGCTGGTATGTAGATATACAACTTTTATTAATAGAGTTTTTGCTAACTCGTCGTGGTTTAGGAGGTACGGAGGCACGAAGTATGGGTTTCAGTGGTATGTTTGAGGTAGAATTGGAAATTTGAAATTGATAAACAGTGCTGACACCATGCACAGAGCTGCAGGCCGCGTGTTGCACCCGCTTGCCTTCGCTACTTGCATGGCCGCCAGCTCGCCTCCGCCTGCTCAAGTAAAGGACCGGCACCCTGCCCTCTCCACTCTCTGTCTCTCCCTTTTTCCTTCCTTCTCCTGCTCCCTCTCCAAGCCGGCACCACGCCACTGCTGCTGGAGCTCCGTAGCCACCATTGCCGAGCGGCAAAGCTCCAGTGCCGCCGTTCTCGTTGCACTGGTCCTCCTCCGCTTGCTCAGACCTCGTCCTGCCTATCCCCACCACCAAGCGCACGTGGTGTGCCTCTCCTTCGAGCGCCGCGCGCTGCCATACATGGCGGCCGCCGTCTCCGCATGCACTGACGCCGCGGCCAAGCTGGCCCGGGTCACTGTGGCCGTGTTGTGCCCCTTGGCCAGCCACGTGGGCTCCCCCTGGAGTGTGCGCACGCCCCCAGCACCGCCATTCGCCGCCGGCGCCGCCTTAGCCGACCGGAGCCGCGAGCCCGGCCGCTCCCTGCTCTGCCATCGTAAGGATGAAGATGAAGGACGTCGCGCTCAAATAAGGGAAAAGGGAAGGATCTTGCTGTGAAGTTGTGACTCATGTGAATAATGCTCAAGAGGACCTCTTCGCTGACGTTTGAGTTCTATTTTCCGCAGGGACCCCGATGCAAGCTAGATTTACATTGCTTTTCTTTGATTTTGGCAGATTTGAATGATGAACTTTGAAAATTCATAGTAATTAGTATAAAAATCGTAAAATAGTAAATGATGACTTTTTGGAATCCTTGTGAAATTGTCTATGCATTAGATTTATAATATGGCATGTTTTAGTTTAAATATTTTGCTGTAAAAATAGATTTGTGCAGTAAGGTTGTAATGCTAGTTGAATTTGTTATTTTCCATAACTGCAGATCTAGGGCTCCAAATGAAGTGAAATTTTTGTCGCACGTTACTAATGTGATAGTTGATGTGTGGTAAAAATTTCATAAGTATTGGATGAAGTATGAGTGAGTTATTGGTTTATCTCGCTCTCACATGATTTCTTGCAATAGCAAAATGTCTTTTTCGTAGAGGCATCTATACTTATGCAAATAGTATGAAATTTGTACAGTAGACTATTGAGAGGATATGTGAGCTACTATAATTTTTGTAGAATTTATTGTGCATTTTTGGTATATGTTCATAAAGACACCTTGATGTCTAAATAAATTAAGAAATGCTTTAAGAAAATTTATTTAGAGGTGAGCACCATGCTTTCTGGTGTTCTTTAGTCATGTGTGAAATGTTGGTAAGGTTGGTTTTGCCCAATTATGTGTTTGCAACATAAGTTAATAATTATTTTCTTGCCGATGTGGTTTATGGACAGATCTAGGAACTTAGCAAAGTTCTTTATGATAACATGCTTTGTTGTGAAACTTGTTTATACAAAAGTTGTAGATAATTCATGTATCTATCTTCTGTTAAAATTTGGTGTCATTTGGCCAAGTAGTTTAAGAGTTACAGCTGTTTAAAGTTGGGTTACAGAATTGATTGCTCTCTGTCTTGTTTAGACCAGTTTCTGTAAATATATAATTTCGACCCACTTAACTTGTGAATCATGCTG